CCTGAAGCAGCGAGCCATTTCGAAGGAACTCTGAGTGTGCAGAAACCGCTACAGCACAACAGTCACAGATGCTCTCAGCGATCAAGCAGGGGCTTCCAAAGCCCTCCCACTCGTTCTTCGAGCATTAGAGGCCGCCAAAAACAGCTCAGTAAGGGCAAAGTCGGATCCAGGTTTGTCTTCACTTCCCACGTCAGACATCGTAGCGAAGAAAACAGGTGATCCTCCCAGCCGTCAAGGTGTTGCGAGCTGCCCCACCAGACAGATCGCGGGAAACTCTCCGCAACTTCACGGCAAGCGATGGTGCAAAGCCATCAAGTCATCAAGGACACCAAGACCAGCTCAGTAAGGGCAAAGTCAGATCCAGGTTTGTCTTCACTTCGCACGTCAGACATCGTAGCGAAGAAAACAAGTGATCCTCCCAGCCGTCAAGGTGTTGCGAGCTGCCCCACCAGACAGATCGCGGAAACTCTCCGCAACTTCACGGCAAGCGATGGTGCAAAGCCATCAAGTCATCAAGGACACCAAGACCAGCTCAGTAAGGGCAAAGTCAGATCCAGGTTTGTCTTCACTTCGCACGTCAGACATCGTAGCGAAGAAAACAGGTGATCCTCCCAGCCGTCAAGGTGTTGCGAGCTGCCACCAACAGATCGCGGAAACTCTCCGCAACTTCACGGCAAGCGATGGTCCAAAGCCATCAAGTCATCAAGGACACCAAGACCAGCTCAGTAAGGGCAAAGTCAGATCCAGGTTTGTCTTCACTTCGTCAGACGTAGCTCCTCCCAGCCGTCAACGAGCTGCCCCAGATCGCGGAAACTCTCCGCAACTTCACGGCAACGATCAAGGTCAGTAAGGGCAAAGTCCAGGTGCAAGACATCAGCCAAAGGACACCAAGATCGCGGAAACTCTCCGCAACTTCACGGCAAGCGATGGTCCAAAGCCATCAAGTCATCAAGGACACCAAGACCAGCTCAGTAAGGGCAAAGTCAGATCCAGGTTTGTCTTCACTTCGCACGTCAGACATCGTAGCGAAGAAAACAGGTGATCCTCCCAGCCGTCAAGGTGTTGCGAGCTGCCCCACCAGACAGATCGCGGAAACTCTCCGCAACTTCACGGCAAGCGATGGTCCAAAGCCATCAAGTCATCAAGGACACCAAGACCAGCTCAGTAAGGGCAAAGTCAGATCCAGGTTTGTCTTCACTTCGCACGTCAGACATCGTAGCGAAGAAAACAGGTGATCCTCCCAGCCGTCAAGGTGTTGCGAGCTGCCCCACCAGACAGATCGCGGAAACTCTCCGCAACTTCACGGCAAGCGATGGTCCAAAGCCATCAAGTCATCAAGGACACCAAGACCAGCTCAGTAAGGGCAAAGTCAGATCCAGGTTTGTCTTCACTTCGCACGTCAGACATCGTAGCGAAGAAAACAGGTGATCCTCCCAGCCGTCAAGGTGTTGCGAGCTGCCCCACCAGACAGATCGCGGAAACTCTCCGCAACTTCACGGCAAGCGATGGTCCAAAGCCATCAAGTCATCAAGGACACCAAGACCAGCTCAGTAAGGGCAAAGTCAGATCCAGGTTTGTCTTCACTTCGCACGTCAGACATCGTAGCGAAGAAAACAGGTGATCCTCCCAGCCGTCAAGGTGTTGCGAGCTGCCCCACCAGACAGATCGCGGGAAACTCTCCGCAACTTCACGGCAAGCGATGGTGCAAAGCCATCAAGTCATCAAGGACACCAAGACCAGCTCAGTAAGGGCAAAGTCAGATCCAGGTTTGTCTTCACTTCGCACGTCAGACATCGTAGCGAAGAAAACAGGTGATCCTCCCAGCCGTCAAGGTGTTGCGAGCTGCCGCAGAAGAAAGGGAGCCGCAAGACGTTGTGGAAACTCGGCAAGCGCTGGTCCAAAGTCACCGACCCATCAAGGTCAGATCCCGCTTGGTATTCGATTCGGACGTCAGAATTTGTAGCGCAGAAAAATGAACAACTTACAGCAAGTGTTTCACCGTGAGGTCGGCACCCATGTGGTGGTGGTGGTCGTCCTGAGCCAAGACATCTTCGTTAGATTTGCTCCCGTCGGCCTGTTGCTGAGCCACGGTCAAGGATCGGACGTGCTTGTGTTGGAGACCAGTGTTGCATTGGGCGGAACTTGCGTGGTTGTGGCTTCGAGAACCTGCGGTGCATCCAAACAGTTCGGCAATAGACACTCAACAAGAATCGTGTTGTCGAAGGAACCTGGAGAGTGACCATGCAGGAAAGGACACCTTGACAGGAGCACCTGAGACGCCGTTCTGAAAAGTCCACTCTGAGCTTCACATTCTGGGCAACCCGAGTCCAAGATGGAGGCTGTGGACTCGGTGCAACCGTAGGGCTGGTCACTGTGACCGGGCCTCGGCATGGGCTCTCTTTCGCATCTTGCTTTGCCAGTTCCCAGCTCGGGCGCAGACAGCTACTGGTGTCGTTGATGGAGAAGAGGAACCGCGGAGGCAGTATGAGCCTGAAGCCAGCACTGCCATAAGACCCCACAACCACTCCATGAGCCATGGCGCCCCACGCCTTATGAGATCGCCAGCCCGGGCCAGAGTGCTGAACGAGACTTTGATCTGGACCTCTGCCGTGAGTCCGGACCTGCAAGGTAGCAGCTGGGATGCAGGTGGATGCAGGTACCACACGCCATTCTTATCAGCTGAACGAAGATCTTTGACTGATGAGAATACCGACCTCGGTGGCTCTGTGCTCACGGAGATAACCTGCCGGCAGTCTGCAGCAGGGCTTGCAACGTGCACCCCTTGCGATGCTCCTCATGCCCTCAAGCAACAAAACCGCTTCGGGTCATGTACCGACCAGAGCAGTCAAGGCTTCGTTATGTATGCACAGTCTGCAGACATGGTTAGACTGGTTGAAGCTTGATGGCCAGCCTCGAAATACAGCAACCCTCTCGCGAGGCTTGGCTCATCAACGAAGATATCATCACCGACTCCTCGTGACGACACTATGCACAATCATCCTACGTGCGGTCAAAGACAACTGCTGGAACAGCTAGTGCCTGCAACGTGCCCGAGTTTGATCTGCCCACCAGTTTATGGCACCGACAGCATGGCATAGCTTGTGCTCTTTCAGTCATCAACTCGCGAAAGCGAATCACTACCAAACTCGCACAACATCGATCCTCCACCAACCAGCGTGGACGAAAGCTGGAACTGTGTTGGTGTGGAAGGAAGCTGCTGGGGTGTCAGGACATCCTAAGCTCAAGGGAAATCGTTCACAATCGATGCACTGCCGCATAATGGTTCAGCATGCAACACACTGCTGCACAATTGGGTGACTGCTTGGCAAGTGTCGGCTTCCACTGTATACAGAGCTCCAGCGAGCATGCCATCGGGCACCTCAACATGACCAACATCAAATTGACGCGTCTGGGAAACGAATCTAAAGTTGCCAAAATCGCCACATCACCATAGGCAGGCTCAACAACCGGCCTGGAAAGTGATCTCCAACGTATTGCCTTTCAGTTTCAGGCATGACGTCCCGGCACTGAACGGCCACGCAGAAGGTGCGGTTACATCAGCCCGCGGCTGGAAGCTGCACACCGCGACAGAGCTTGGGTGAAGGTCGCGTCCGATCTTGCTGGGTCTTGCCCTGCCAACGTGGAAAGGCTTGAAGAAACTGTCAAACATTTGCATCGTATGGCTCTCCGGCCTATGAATCGTATCCCACCACACTGCATGCTGAAGCCGAAGTTGTACGGCATCGGTGCCGTAATTCGAAATGACTCAGCCTTGAGAATCATCATTGCAAACTCACAGACCGTCCCTCAAACTTCTTATTGCTTCTTGCTTCAGGTTGCATCCAAGCTGCCGTTACGGAGGGTCGGAAAATGATTCGAATACCGTTGCTCAAAGTGCTTCCGACCTAGGGCCAGTCAATGAAGGCCCCGGTCCGGCTGAAGCTACAGCAAATCAAGACCCGAACGGTTCCCCCCAGGCGAGTGGAAGGAGAAGCCAAAACAACTTGTACATCGCTGAATGTCTGCACCGGGCTGGCTGCCACCTGCAAGATCTCACGACTCTGCTTCCTTCCTGGCTGAAGGGCCCCTCCGGCTTTGCCCTAAACCCCACCTGAGCCGACGAAAGCCCGTCGACCTGTGCAGGCTCGGCTAGACGCACACTGCACGTGATTGCGGGACGGGGAGCGCCTCCAGCGTCCAGACGTTGAAGTCTGGATTCACCAAGGGGTTCGTGGCCTCCACCCGCAGAGAAGGCAACTTGGCAAGCGGCTCAGCGGCTTTCTCCCTAGCCATAGCCATGGCCTCCACCCGCAAGGCGTATGTCTGGTTCCGGGGGAGCGCCGCCTCCACTTCAGCTGTCAATGACACGAACTTACAAACACTCTTGGAGTTGTCGGTTCAAGCCGATGCTGAGGCAAACCTTCCTCCCAATTCACGCTGAGTTTTGGTCAACTTCTGCAAGCATCGTTTGCAGCACCCTTGCAACAGACATCATCTTGCGCCGCCACGACGCTAACTCACTCGCTCAGAACATGCCCGACATCGATCATGAAAATTTCTGAGTTCTGGTCATGGACCCTGAAACCTTGCACCGATGTACCAAAGAGGCCTCCCAGGACATAATTGCCACGTGATCGCGTCCTTCACATGAAAACCTTGGCAATTCATGGAGGATTCAATTTCGCAGTCCGAAAGGAAAGGATACTGCATTTGCGCTGTGACCTTTTGCAAACGATTCCAGCGAGGATGCTAGAGTCAACAAGCGAGGAAATTACTGCTCTGTCTGAAACACAATGATGCTGATGTCGAAATACGGCAAGCCAAACAACAGCACAGCACAGGAAGGGCATCCAGTTAATTGGAGCAGGGCGTAGCCGGATGTCTGGCGGCTGAATCCAGACGGTGCAGCGCTGCTTGCAGTTTTGCAAACTTGCAGCTGCACCTGCGCATCCTTTGCGCTCATCTGGCGAGACTCAAAGGGTCACCTAGATCGCTGGCATTCATCCACGTGGCACATTTCGCCCGCGAACTGTGGACATGCTGCCTTCCGGGGGCCAGTTTACAAGCACAAGCTTGGCCCGTTGTGTCGTGTTGCCGGCCTCTTCCACCTGCACCGAGACCGAGCGACACGCCAGCTCCTGCACCACCACTTCTGATGATGCCTGCCTCGGCTCAACTCACACGAAGGGCTTACGTCAGGCACGCCAGCTCGGTGCAGAAAGGAAGCACTTACCATCTCCCGTGCCTGACACGAAAGCAGCAAGCACAACAGCGGCACCACACACAACCGGAATGGCAGGCGCACGCGACTACGCTGGTCACCAACCAGATGCAGTCGCTCCTGCAAGCTCCGCTTGTCTATGGCTGAAGCATACAAGCGCATGATATGCCTGCGGCTTGGGGACAGCTGTTTCAAACTGGTTTGCCATTGAGGTGATGATTCTCAAGTTTCAGAAGATACTTAGAAGTAGCCAGCTCAACAGTGCCGGTGCAGTCCCCTCTTTGCAAAGAAGCACGTCGCGGCCCCGGAAAAGAAGCGGTCCCAGTGCTTCGGTGCACTCAAGTTTGGGAAGCCAAAAGTTGCCCGGCTCCTGCATCTCGGAGTAATCCTCGTTGGCAAGAAAAGAGTGGAGTCAGTGAATCTGCGCTTACAACTCATGCCAAGGGAGAGCGACCGGCCTTGGTCTCCACCACCTTGCAGCGGTAGTAGGCCTCGCAGCGATCCTGTTCACAAGGATCCGTCTCCCGAACGTCGACACCGACTTCGGCCGAAATCGAATGCATGCTCCTTGTCGTACATACGCACCATGAGGAAATCTGCAGCCATCGACCTTGTTGCGTTCGAGACAGTTGTGCCGAACTGAACCAGCGGTAGCCTAGCATTCGACCATGATTGCCCCAGAACCACGGACGAAGAACATGTTCATGAACGTCGCAGTATATACCAGATAGAGCTGGCAGCTGTTGCCCAGACATTGAAACTGCATCCGCGGCACGCGATCTGCACCAGGGCCAGGCAGGAACCCAGCTGGATGACGATGGGGACCTGCGATAGATTTTGGCTCAACCTGCTCTCTAGGACCCTAGGACCTTCGAGTCTAAAAAACTGCAGCCAAAGAGCCAGGCTGATCTGGCGACCAATCCCGGACGAGTCCACAATGAGGCGCAAGCCGTACATGTACTGGGCGTCCCTGTGGCATGCAAAAAAGCTCAGGACCAAAGCTACAAGTACAGGAGCTCAGAGTAGCTCACTCTCTGTCCTGGTCTCGACACCGTTCATAGTGTGCTTCTTACTGCGCTTCTGGACGAAGCCAGTGCCATCATCGACCTTGCGACTGTGGCTTCCGAGACATCTTTGCACCAGAGACAGAGGACGTCGTAGGTGGCTGGCGCGCTTGACGCTCATCTTGGGCTCGCAGCTGTTGCTCCAGCTGAAATCGCAGCTCCAGAAGAAGTTCACCTGACTGAACAGAAAGTAGGTCAGAAACAGAGACATGGCTCTCATCAACAGAATCGTCAGCCAGGGCAACGTTCGCTGCTGTAGAAACCAGGGCGTCTAAATACTACTGACGTGGGCATAGATCACCACCAGAGGAAGGACGCAGATTCTCTGCAGTCCAAGGCACTGCAATGACACACCCAGACTTGGAAACATCCTGAAGCTCAGGAGCTGTGCAACATCCCGCTGCTTTTGGCGGGTTAGCAGTCGGCAGGTCATCATAACACCTTGCATGTCGTCGACACGATCAGGACATCACGGGTCCTCCAACTTCAGCGGCGGGTCCGCAAGCTCGAGAAGTTGGAGAAGCGTGATGCGCTTGTGAAGGTCGCTGGAGTCTGGCATTCTCGCTTGTTTACGGAATGATTGATCAAATCAGCAGAGAAAGCAAGCCGAACCTGGAGAAGAGCCAGCGACGTGAAACTTGGCACCCTGGGTGAGACAAGACCCCTGACCACCTGTTTCTGATACCCAGCCTGTAACTTGTAACATGATCCCCGTACAGCGTTTGCGCTCGTTTCGGCTTGGACTGTTCTTGGAGCGCCCCGATGCTGAGTGTGCCACGATGCTGGGGAAACCGATGCCGGCCACGATCATCAGCAACGCTTCCCTCAGGAAATCTGGTAGGGAAGCGATTGCCTACTCATGAACATCCCCCTGCAGGAGCGCTCCGGGTATGGATTTTGGTGGCGAGGATGGCAGTGCATTCGCGCACGGTCAATTCGTGCACTGGCGACGAGGATTCATGCAACCGGGGATTCGTGCACCGAAAAAGTACTCGGATTACTCAGGCAACAGAGATTCCTGCGCTGCTATGTTCGGAAACGATTCTCACGCGAGCGCGATCGCCCACGGAAGTGGGAGTCGCGCCGAACGCGCGACGGGGACAACGACCGCCCCTGCAGAGAAAAACTGGCGAGGCTGGCGACGGGTTCGAGATAATCCTACAACGTGGAGGGAAACAAGGCCGTGCGGATAGGTTAGACAGCCAAAAGTATGATGAGGCATGAGCATAGACAGGTCAACAAAAATCCTAAGCCGTGAGTTAAGCCAAAAAGGGGATGGTGGGTGCAAAAACCGGAACCCTAACAAGTAGAAAAGTGACAACGAAACGGAGAATAGGCAACAGAAGAACACGAGGTTGCCCCAAATCCGAAGAACTGAAGGAGAACGGCGAGTGGTGCTGCACGGATTTTATCGTACGGTGCTGGAATCGCCGTGAATCGTCCCGGTGCCTGCCCAGCAATAAAATCGCCAGTGCTCAAATCACTCGTACTCGAGTCGCATGTGTTCGACTCACCAAACTTGGGTCATTTCTGCTTGCTGGCAAAGCTGCTCCAAACCGAAAATGTCCTGAGAAGAATGCACCATGAAAATCGCTCTCCATGCTTCTATGAAGTGCCTCGACAACAGCCCCTGGAGGAGGGTTCGCCACGTTGTGATCTCCCAAGCTGGGGCACCAAGTTTTCACCTGTGCAGAAGATGCGGAGCAGTCCAGCACGTGACACCGGGCATCAGCACACAGGCTTCACATGGTCGAAGTATGTTTGGAAATCAGGTGCAAGTCCGGGGCCTGGCAGTAGTTGTCGGAGCCACAAGTGGCATGGTCTCCTTGTTTTGTATGTGACCCGAATCGAGATGTCTGCACGACAGCCGAATCTGCGAAGGTCTGACAACGGTCTGCAACAACAGGCTATGCTGCTCGGGAACCACACGGACACGTCTGTGGGCTGTCCGAGTCGACGCAAGTGCCCATCCTTACAGATGCTTATCGTCCGAGAGGAACCATGCATCAGACACAAAATGGTTTGAAGCAGCTCGGTTTTTCAGCCAAGGGGCGCTTGCCCCTGGCATGTGGCATCGCTTTTGACGTCAAACATTCAACTTTTCAACTTCCTACTTCGGGCTTCTCGGCAGTCAAAGCTGGAAAGCCCAAAAGCGAACTAACGATCGATGACCTTGCGCAATGCTCACTGTCGTAAAAAATATTGCGCTGTCCAGGCCACTTGAGTTGCTGTTGCAGACACCCGCTACTCCATAGGAGACCAAAGTTTCATCCTGCCGATGTGGGTTTCTTGGTAGCGTACCAGTGCCTTCGCGTCTTGGTCGCATGTTCGTGTTCTGTCTTCTCATTGAGTTGCACCGACAGGCAACCAGAAACTCCTGTTGTAGACACCGGTTGATGCACCTAATCCTGTGCTTTCCCTCGAGTGTGCCTTCGGGGTTTCTCATCCTTGGATCTGCGTCGGAGGATGTCTCCGAGCTGTGCTAACACTCCATCTTGTAGGAGCGTGTGCCTCGACTTGAATTCCTGGCGCTTGCCCATACCCATGCCACAACATGCCGGACAGTTTGAGGTAGTACGTTGATCTCCCTGTTGACAACTCCTCAAACAGTGCTTAATTTGTGATTCCTTCTCTGCGGAGTCATAGGCACCTGCTTGCATGAGCATTTCAGGAACAACTGGCAATGGTCTCGCTCGAACTAGTGGTACAGGCATGCCTTCATCGTGATTCTGCGGGTCATGATGAAGGCGCCCGAAGGCTCGATCACCGGATGTCGCAGGTCGACTTCATCAAAAGCCTCGAGGTGAAGAGCGGAACACGTCGACTTAGCAACTTCGAAATCTGGAGAGACCCTGGGGACCCTTGGATGGCCTTTCCATCTTGATTGAAGCTCTTGGCCTCAAACTTAGTGATGACGGCACCATAGCCCGGTTCCTGCAATTGCGAACATGGGGAGCTCCGGGGACCAATACACAGACCGTCCTGGAAGGTGTGTCTGCCCTCGATGTGAAAAACAACGATTTGAATGTACAGAACAACCTCGGGGAAAAGGCGTTTTGCACCACACCCCGGCTCTGCTTGAATTCGCAACAAATCCAGCGCACGGCCTGCACATGGGCCTTTTGCAGCCATGTGGCTAAGGTGACTATACCCCAATAGAGGTATCCAAGATTTGCATCCTGGATTCGCACAACCTCGCGTCGGATCGTGGAAGCATCAGCCGGCCAGGGGAGTTGCTTCTCATGGACCGGACAGATGCGATAGAAATGACAGAAGACACTCTTGCGTCATGGCAGGCACCTTTCGGTCTCAACTTCAGACTAAAGAGACGGAAACCACTCGGCACCAGATGCAACTGAGTGGCTCTGTTGGTATGATAAGCACCTTATTTGCAGGAACAAGCATGTCAGCATCTCCATCTCTCTGTGATGAGTCCAAAGAAACTCGTGCATTGCATCAAAGCCACATATTTTGTTCCAGTCCCAAACCGTGCTCCTGTGCTCATTGGGTCTCTGAACAGCTGAAAACAAAAAGCCACAATCCTGTTTTGAGCAGGTCGGGGTCCATCATCATCCTGGCATTGGCTGACATTTGAGGTCTGCACCATGCGACTCCAAGTGCCGCATCCTCGTCAACTACGCGCTGCAACTCGGTGCCAGCCATGGTATCCAGCTCTCATTTCATGGTCTCGTGTAGCTGGCTCGTGACAAACCCTTCAAGGTTTCACAACCACGAGACAACAGATCGTGATGTGTGCACTTTCTCGTACTTCTGCTGCCCATGTGATTCAGGTTGCACTGCCAGACTTCTGCTGTGTCAAGGCAGGATCTGCATCCATGAGAGACCGCAAAGCTACAATCAACCGGGCTGTCTTTCTGAGCCCGACGCAGGGAAAGGAAAGGGGGATTTGCCAACACTGACTCAAAACATAACTCGGAATCGAAGTCCACAGCCGCAGCTGTGTTCCACAGGGCTCCGGCAACTCCGGAAGCTGTGTGTAGTTGGCCGCTAGCGAGACCTCGACACGAGCGAGCCTGTAAATTCCAGTGAAAAGTGCCTGTCCTGAGCACCACGCGTCCAGTTGGAAGACTTGCCCAAGATCAACAACGATTTGCGGCATGCAGTGCAGCTTCAGCTTCATCCCCTGCGCGTTGGCAGGGCTTTTGACCGTACCCATCAAGCCAGATAGACTAGAACCCGAACGAAAAGACACCAAAAAAGAAGGGTCGGACCGGGCCTCTGGGCCGCGCAGCCGCGCGCGACTGGGAAGCGCGCCGTTCCCGGGTAGAGTGAAGGCCAGGATGGTGGAGCTGTCCCTGTGTGGCCACGCAGCCAAGGCAGCCAAGCGTGTTACAGCAAAATGGTCAATGCAACCTGAGGGGACGTGGATCGAAGGACCAAGTGATCGCGGCCGAAAGCCGCTCAAAATGCTGCAAGGCTTCCTGCACCAGGAACACACGGTCAGGAACAGCATGTCAGTCAATGGGCAGAGCTTCAACAGCTACCAGCCTGAACAGCAAATCCTGGAACTGTAGATGGAGTGTCCACCTGACGGATTTCCTCTAACTGGCCATCTTCACTAACGTGTCCAAGCCTCAGTGGCATCTGGATAGTTTTCCGGGTCTTGATACGTGGCGAACCTCCAAGAGCCTGCAGACGCAAACATGCAGAGGAGCCCCAGATGGCGGCTTCAGCATGCTTCCCCAGAAGCAGCAGAACAGTGGTCGTTCAAGCAGAATCACATGTTGCAAGTTGTGGATGCGCCCGCCTGCAGGTACCGTGTTGGGCGGGTTCGTGCAGAGGAAGAGGAAGGCATAGGTCCCAGCGAGGAGCGCCCTTTCAATTCCAGCAGTCTTTTGCAGCATTCCGTGACTGGTGCAGCCAAAATTCCAACACAAGAAGAAACACGAAGCCTACATACTGTCCCGACAGAACACCACCGTGTCGGCAGGTCATCTACAGTATTGCTGTCGGCTTGAACGTACCACTAATCTGAACACTTCGGCCGAAGGCCTCGTGGAAACAATTCTCAGCAGGATTTCGCCCGAGAAGAGGCTCTGCACGGCGCAGGTGTAGCCATCTGCACAAGCTGGCAGGACTTCATGTGCTGAGATGCTGAGGCTCATGGCACAGTCCCGCCGTTTGCAACCGCCCACGCCACTCCCTGTCATGCCTGTTACGCCAGGGCAGCTGCACCGCAATCGCCTCGTCGCCACACCGCCCTGCTCGTCGTTCCCAGAGCAGTGGACAGCTAGCCAACGACAGACACGAAGATGCTGCACCCCCGACACTTAGGAACATCCTGGCTAGACCTCACCCGCCGTGTGCCGATGCCTCAAAGATGAAACCGCCTCCAGCAAAAATCGGTGTGGTCGTTGTCAGCTGTACCCGCACCTCAGCTTCTGATTGGGCACGCAGCGAAGGAAAAAAGAAGGACTTCAGACTTGCCACTCCGACCACTAGTCGATCCGATTCCAGCCACAGTCTGTGTTTCAAGAAAGTCCAGGGCGCTCCATGCTGTTCTCCAACTCGTCCTGTCACATAGTCAACCCATGCCCCTCGCACCTTGGCGTCGACTTCTGTCATGCAGACACTCATCATATCCTCATACTGCAGATGAAGCGCTGCGCTAAGCGAAGGTCCCGGGAGCAAAACCTTAGCTCACTCCGCATGGGACATCAAGGGGCTCAAGTTGAGATTATTGATTCATGTTTGAAGCTGTGACCTGCAGTCATCGCTTATATTTATTATGGCTCACCAGCAAAATGGGCCCAGGTCTTGGAGCCGTCTGCTCCAACTGGTGTCGGCCGAAGGACTGCCAGCGGCCGCTGCCCGGCGTCAGCAGTCCCACTCCAGTTGCCGAGCTCAAGAAGGAAATCGGCTCCTGCGGTACGGCTCGAGACCTCTGGCTCCTTTTCATCTCCGTTCTGCCGCTCTGCCCGCCATGCCCAGCTTCCCATCCCAGGCTGCGCAGCCCTTCCCTATACCTCGCCTGCATGCGAAGAGAACAAAGAAATCTCCCCAAGAAGTTGTTTTCTTCGCTCCTGTTGAAGACCATCTGGGCACTCGGACAGGCACTCGAAATCCGTAAATCTCGCCACTCACGAAGGCCATGGGCCTTGGAATCAGGTCTGCACCCAGAGCACAGAACAAGCCCCCTCGTTGGCAAAGATGATCCAAGATACGTTGTCCATGAAAGGAAAATCTCTTCGGAGACCGTAGGCACTGCCTAGGGATGACATCCGTGCGCAAAGGCAGGGCTGCTCGTAGACGAATTTCACCGATGCTGGACAGGATAGAGATGGAGAGTGGAGGAGGAGACGGAGTAGCACATGCTTAGGTGTCTGTCAAGCCGCCCTCCCAGGCAGAGCTGCTGTGGAGCCAAAGGCAGCGTCCTGCACCGAGTCCCATCGCTCTACCCCGGTACAGAGGCCACTAGAAGTCACTCTAAATTCCTGCCAGAAGCCGCTCCCCACCACGGCAGGTTCCCAGATCCAGCCCAGCGGAGCGGTCAACCGCATCGGCATGGACAGGTCGAACCTTGAGCGAATTCCGAACGACCAACCCTGCTTGAAATGTAGACGGCGCCTGCACTGGACTTTCATGCAAACAAGTGACGGTACCTGAATGGGGAGAACCGTAACAGAAGCCGTATTCAGCCTCAGTGCAGGAACTGGCTGCCAATCGCGCTTGGCTGCGGCTACGTGCAAATCAAGATGTGTCCATCCCAGCCACGTGATGTAGAAAGGCAGCAGCTCGCCTTGCAGCACAAAACTCTACCGTTGAGAAGGCTGCCGAGGCCACAGGCCGCAGGCATCCCCAGGCGTCCTGGGGGTTTAACTGAGTACCCTCCACCTACTCCTTTCTCCCAGCTGCCCGAAAAATAAGCATCTTCTGGCCCTTGTTCGACAGGTTCCGCCCACCCTTGCCCCGACCCCTGACCGGCCACCTCCTCCCCCCCTCCTTTCCCTTCCCTCTACCTTTCCCTCATCTCCGCCTGTTTTTGTCTGGCAAGCCGAGGCGGGCAGCGTGGTGTGTTAAAATTCAAGTCTTGGAATCATATAGTCTCAGAGGTTCACTCAAAGGGCCCAAGGGCCCAGCCCCATCGGAGAGTCGGAGCATCCAGCGCAGATGTGGAAAGGCCCCACATCTTACCTCAGTTCTGGTCTCTTCTATATGGACTTCTCTGGAACATGTGACGGCAAAGGGTGTGGCCAGGACTGTCGCTGGCAGAGGCATCTAGCCAGGCGGCACCTCCTGAACTTTCCTGCAAGCACGCTGTCGACTCAATGCGAGACAGCAGCTCATGTTAGAGGAACCCACACGCCTCCACGACTAGGTCGCTGCTGTCTCGGGTCCTCACCCAAACCATCATAAGTAGAACAGCAAAGACGGCAAAGAGGTGCGCAAACACACACACACACACACACACGCACGCACACAACCACGGAAGCAAAAAGGACATGAGGCAGCGTCCTCACCATCCACATAAGCTGCTCCTGAAACTTGCGACGGTCTAAAGTCTGAAGCACTCGTTGCCGTCGTTTGCAATACTGATTGCAATGCCATGCATTTTCCAATCATGTTTCTACGGCGGAGCCGCGACTCTGAGCATCTGCCGCATCTTGCGTGACATGAACCTCGGATGTCCCCTGTGGAGGAGGACACCGCCACGCACCTTCAGGATCTTGAGTTGTCGACCTTTTGGGCGGCTGTATGTCGGTCGTGGTGTGATGATCGTGGTGGTGGTGGCGGTCGTGGTGGTGGTGGCGGCGGCGGCGGTGGTGGTGGTGGTGGTGGTGTGGTGGTGGTGTGGCGTGGTGGCGTGGTGGCGTGGTGGCGTGGTGGCGTGGTGGCGTGGTGGCGTGGTGGCGTGGTGGCGTGGTGGCGTGGTGGGGTGGTGGTGTGGTGGTGTGGTGGTGTGGCGGTGTGGCGGTGTGGCGGTGTGGCGGTGTGGCGGTGTGGCGGTGTGGCGGTGTGGTGTGGTGGTGTGGTGGTGTGGTGGTGTGGTGGTGTGGTGGTGTGGTGGTGTGCTGGTGTGCTGGTGTGCTGGTGTGCTGGTGTGCTGGTGTGCTGGTGTGCTGGTGTGCTGGCGTGCTGGTGTGCTGGTGTGCGGTGTGTGGTGGCGTGGTGGCGTGGTGGCGTGGTGGCGTGGTGGCGTGGTGGCGTGGTGGCGTGGTGGCGTGGTGGCGTGGTGGCGTGGTGGCGTGGTGGCGTGGTGGCGTGGTGGCGTGGTGGCGTGGTGGCGTGGTGGCGTGGTGGCGTGGTGGCGTGGTGGCGGTGGTGGGTGGTGGCGTGGTGGCGTGGTGGCGTGGGTGGCGTGGTGGGTGGTGGCGTGGTGGTGGCGTGGTGGCGTGGTGGCGTGGTGCTGGTGGCGTGGTGGCGTGGTGGCGTGGCGTGTGCGTGCTGCTGCGCTGTGTGCTGGCGTGCGTGCTGGCGTGCTGGCGTGCTGGCGTGCTGGCGTGCTGGCGTGCTGGCGTGCTGGCGTGCTGGCGTGCTGGCGTGCTGGCGTGCTGGCGTGCTGGCGTGCTGGCGTGCTGGCGTGCTGGCGTGCTGGCGTGCTGGCGTGCTGGCGTGCTGGCGTGCTGGCGTGCTGGCTGGTGTGCTGGTGTGCTGGTGTGCTGGTGTGCTGGTGTGCTGGTGTGCTGGTGTGCTGGTGTGCTGGTGTGCTGGTGTGCTGGTGTGCTGGTGTGCTGGTGTGCTGGTGTGCTGGTGTGCTGGTGTGCTGGTGTGCTGGATTTCTGGATCATTGCAATCACCCATCTTGCCTGTATCGCTCTGCAAGACGGCGGTCTTGTGGTAGCGTGAGGCGCTTCGTTGCTCTTATGGCGTCCGCTGCTTTCACTTTGGGCCTGCTATACTTCGCTCTATACTTCCGGGCTCTGCTGCTTCGACCAGCTTCAATGTCAGAGCTTCACGATCTTTCTGAAAGGCAGCTGGTAGTGACTCAACGATATAAGCTCAGGAGAAGAACCCCAGCCAATTACACCAATTACACTACCCCACCATGCTGACCGCAGGCTCCAGAAAGCACGGTGCCGCTTGAAGACGCTGTGCGGCCTGTCCACCAGAAGGTCCCTGAATTGTAAGAAACTCTTGCTATCAGTGTTCTGCATTCGCCCTTCGGTCTCGCTGGGTCTTCTCCGTGGCTGGGGCCGCTCTCACTGGTAGTTCCGATATTTCCGGTCGTCTTGCCTGAGAAACTTTCGACATCGCTCGTATGTACTGGTGTTGACAATGCTGTCGGTGCAACGCTTCGCTCTTTTGTTGTATAAGGTGTTCGGTGTGTTTGTGGACGACTCGAAGGCTCTGCGATGTTATGCCTCCCTGGGTGGGAGGAAAGGAGATTGCTGTCCTGTCTTTTGAGGGTTAAGAACAAGTCCTGAAAGAAAATCGCGAAGCAGGCAACCCTATTTATTCCCAGCTTTGTCAAGCATCGCGCTTCGGCTCTTGAAGAGGGCTCTAAGGCCTTGCCACATGGCCTGCCAACGTGCTAAGTGAACAGCAATATGTCCTCCTGCGAGCTCTGGCTCGAGGGGTTCTGCACCGTGATGCCGAAAGCGTACGAGACTCCCTGCTTCATTCTCGCACATGCATCCCTATACTCTTTTTGAAATCACCCGCCTGCTGAATCGGGCGCCCAAGCAGGACATGCACCTCTGATCCAGCAGCAAAAATACGTTGCAGCCCACAGTGCTTGGACATGCAACGAATCCAGCACACTGCGATGCTCCATTGGCAATGCATCTGAGGCCGCCGCTCTGGGTGGTGAGGCGAGGGAAAAGCATCCCTGCAAAGAGACGCTTCTCGAAGCAAAGCAAACCTACTCGCAAGCCGACAGAACCGCTGCGGCAGCCGTTTTCTTCCTCACACATCCCAGGTCTTGCGCCACCAGCACCAGTCAACCTCAGGCCAAAGAAGATGCTTGCATCGCAAGTGCTTCCAAATCTCATAGGAGGAAAAGTACGAGTAGCCAAGAATTCGCCATGGCGCTTCTCCTCTGGTAGATGTTCTGGACCTGGGGCTTGGCTGCACTCGGCTTGACCTGAGCAGTAAAATCACCGCGGCTGCCCGCATCGGACCTCTTGCAAAAGCTGAGTCCAGCTCGCGAACAAACTCACAGACAGCTTCCAGCTGCCTCAATCGCAGTGCGATTGAGGCAGAAGTGCACGGAAAGACATACTCGTTATGATTGGTTCGTCAAGCTGCACCCGCTGTGACTGTTGCATGTGCTTCAAAATCTTCCGAAACACATTGATTTCTCTGCACAAGGTGGACAATGTGCCACATGCCCTGCTTGCGACCGGAAGATACAACACGGCGAAGCATGGGTTCACTCTAGTGCACAATTCAATCTATGAAGGGGTCGCACCAGGATGGACATGACAAGCCACTGCTCATCCCACGAGCCGTGACTGCGTTGAAACAATGCGGTAAAAGACTGTGCAAAGTGCAAACGCACCTTGGACCTTGGGTGCAAATAAACGCGCTTTGAGCTCCGAGCTTGAGCTCCCGTGCGATGTCAGGAGCAGACTTGCCTCCTTCATTCACCTTCGAAACGCGAGAAAGTGGCGACTTCTTGACCCGGCCCACGGCGTTCAGATTGCTCTCAGCGACCGGAAAACGTTTGCAGTCTCAACACCTGGACCAGCTCGTCCCCCTCGACTGCTGCCAGGTGCGGGTTCTCATGGTTCCACATGTCAAAAGGGCTCCCAGGCGCAGCCTCAAACAATATCACAACTCATAGCTCTTGGGACATAGCTGAGATCCCGTCGATCTGAGACTCACGCAACAATACTGCGGAGGACACGGCGGTTGGATTGCTTGAGGATCTGGGACGAAGCAGAGTCAATCTAAGAAGCTGTTTGTGGTTCAGAAGAGACTGTGACTGAATGCCATCAGCGCCTCAGGATCCCAAAAGAAGCCCCACTTCTCGTCCTCGTGAGAACGAGACCTTACTTGTACAGCTTTGCAGCATGCCACACAAAAGGCAAAGCCAAGGAAAGCCTCACAAACGAAGACTCTCGGCTCCAGACAGCTTCACATGAAAAGAGAATGAGGTGGTGGCGCCTCTCGGCCGCTTGGCTGGAGGTTCCACTTCAGCAACCGGTACGTCTTTGGCCAGCTCCCGGTACTTGCGAAGAAAAGCCTGCGCCTGTGTCACCGCAGGGCAGGCAGTTCCCAGGTCCCAGGATGTCCCAGGCCCTGCATCCAGCACCCGGCCTTCTTGCGGCAAGTGTCTGCCGTGTCACCGGCTTGGTAGAGAGCAGTACCAACACCGAAACCACTCGCACCAGCCTGCACATCGGTGCAAAAGTGTGTGGATGTTCCAACAGCTCTCTGCAAGCTGCCTCGAGGTATGCTGCCATATTTTCGGTGGAGACACCTCCTTGAAACGCCAGCAACAGACCGCATCAACACGAAACCGATGTACGACACATGCCGCCCAGCATCCAACAGGCATAAGACATGTAGTTTGTGGCAGCACTGCTCTCCAGGCTTTGATAATGTTGGGAGGAAGCTGCTCTCCGGGAAAGGCCTGTGCATCAACATAAACGGAATCACTCGGAATGACAATCCCCATAATCGCAACAAGTCAGGACAGGTTGCCTTCAGCGCATCTGCACCAGCTCGTATTGCTGCGAAGGCTTCCGTAGGCGTGCAAACACCGGGAAAGCTGATAAGACCAAGCTCCTGTTCAAGCAACTGATCGTTTTATGCCCGAAGTGTTCATGTTGCACGCACACATAACAATACCACCACAAGAAGCACAAGGCGTACCTGCTAGCCAAAACGGATGCGCGACATGACGTTTGGCAGAACCCGCTCGAGAATGCATACGTGCGGATGCTACGAAAGGTATCAGCCGAAGTTGATCTCCAGGACGGTCATGACCCCGTCCACAGAAGCCTGACTTTAGCGCTGCTGATCTCGAGTCCAACTTTCTGACGGCCCATTCGTCAAGCGGAGATCTCCTAGTGCAATGCCGTGACTGTGCCCGTTGTCTCTGTGAGTGGCCTGGTAGCACGGAATCTGTGTGCCAGTTGCAGCGGTTTGTCCATGGTGTCCTGGAGACCACTTGGAAGGACCACAAGTCCTCTTTGGCTGTGGACCTCTTTCGGCCTTCGGAAATTGCCTTGGGGCAGGGTTGCTTCCCATGGCTGGGCCGTCCCCTGTTGGAGAGCCAGACGCCCCAAAGCTGGGAGCAGTTGATGCTGGCTGTTGGCCTGTCATGCCGGCCTTCATTCCCACTCCCTCGCCTTGGCTCTCTGCGCATAAGCTGCTTTGAGGGCACTCCGACGGGACACCTCTGAGCTGGCTTGGCAGGGGGTTCCACAGAAGGAGTAGGTGAGTAGGTGGCACCGAGACCTTCAGTGCGTGTGTGTGTGTGTGTGTGTATATCTGTTGTGTGCGTGCGTCAAACCCGAATATAACAAAGGGAGAAGTGCAGGGGGGCAGAGGAGGCCCATAGAACTTTGCCCTACGGAGCATACTATGGTGACTTCAGGATACTGGGACTGATCCTGCAGCTGGAAGATGAAGTTCGCGACCAAAACCCTGGCCACTCTTGAAAGAGCTTCCAAGTGTGAGTGGGTGTGTGTGTGTCTGGGCGGGAAAGCGCCTGCTCCTGGATATATTATTACTCCTACTCCGACTAATACTCTGCCGCTGCTGCGACGACTACTCCCACTGCTGCAGGCCGGTCTCCTTGGTCCTCCGGATCACGACCGGATCCATGTTCGGACTAACAATGAGCTTGCCACCCACGGCGTGGACTTCATCCACCTGCGATACCACATTCAAGGCTCTTTGCTGGCTTACGAATCAACGTTTGGGTAGCCTGCCTCTTTCGCGCTCAAGACAGTACCGGCGCCGACGATGGCATTCGGTAGGTGTTGGACGAGAAGCGCAATGCTTTGCAGAGCCTCTCGGGCAGGGAAACAGCATTGCATCTCTTATTTCACAACGGCTTGCTCGAAGACCCTGCGCCAACCAGCCAAACTCGACTGCAGAGCAGCTATCAAGAAGTCGTCAACTCGTACACGCTGAGACACACATTGCAACGTTCCACCGATACTGAAGAGGCCAGCAACAGGATGAAACTTGGAGGTCTGTCCTGCGGCGAGTTCAAGGGGACTTCCACGATTGTCCTGAGATGTCGGCCGCTGCAAACTCTTATGGCAGCCGGGTATGCAACAAGCAAACGGAACAAAATCACGACAAGGGGCAGTCCGCTCTCTGCGAGAGCCTTACCAACATGTGCCGCCTCTGTCGGCGCAACACCGCGAAGGATTGCCACAAGCGGGCAGGACCGCAGCGCCGCAGTCCAGCGAACCTCTCCCAGCGAAATGTCACGGCATCGAGCTCTGCTGCGGACTCAGCGCACGAGTACAGGCATATAGACATGCAAAGCAGGCCGCGACCCTTCGCCGTGTCAGAACTTACCTTATGCCCCACCCACCGCGGGTCTTCCGAACAAGAACCTCACATGCTGTCCCCCGGGCTTCGGAACAGGCTCTCCTTGGATCTGGGCAGCACTCTTTCGGATCAGGTTCAGTTGTGGTTTGATGAAGGGGCGGTGATTCAGATGCTGGCGAGCCATTTTCTTCCAGGAGCATGCAAATCCCTTCGACCATCCTGCAAGCGGCGCATCGTTCTACGACGCTCTCATCTCGTATTGAGGCCATCCTTCTTTCTTTCTGCCGGGCTTAGGATTTAGGGGCCATCCTCTTTCTTTCTTTCGCCAGGGCTATGGTGCAGGGGCTTTACCCCCTACACCGCGCGCACGTGCGCCCCCGACCATCCTCCCTCTCTCTCTCTCTCTCTCCCCCTCTCTCTCTCTCTCTCTCTTCCGGGCTTGGGGATCACGGCAGCATCCAGGCCGATCACCCCGTGCGCGCACGCACACCCGCTTATTGCGGGAGGTCTTACTCCACCGAGGGATTTTCCCCCAATGGCTCAGCTGTACGGAGTCAAATGGGGGGTTCCCCCCCACCGCTTCGGCTTCCAAACAAAACTCAACACTCAGGAAACAGTGGGGTTCCCCTTTTCAGTTGCCCTTGGTCTGTGCTACGTGAGCTGGGGGGACACTGCGGAAGACAAAAGAGGATACGTAGTACTGTTCACATGGTCCCCCCCCTTTTTGCAGTTGCTTTCAACAGACACAGCTAGTTCCCCCATCTAGAGACCCCCTTATCGTAACACAACAACTGCATGCTCACTCTGAGGCCCGGGCCGAAAGTTAAGACTACATACAGGCAGCGTCACAGATGCTATGTTCTGTTCTCCCCCTATTTCAGAGGGTATGGGAATGACTGCCCTAGGATGTCGAAGGGGGCGAGGCGTCCAGGGCGCATTACCTATCCCCCCTAATCGCTGTCACTGCCATCAGTAGGGGCCATGCCTACCGTAGCTTGCACCCTGGATTCGCCTTCGGCGATGGCTCCCCCCGTCATCGTCATCCCTCTTTGGGGAATTGTGCGCCCTCATCGGTCGGTACTCAGAAGGCGGTGTGTCGTCGAAGTCCGGGATCGTGCCCCCAGGCTCGAGTGCTGGGAATGCAGCACTTCCCCACGGTAGAGTGGGCGCAGTGGGAGCATCTTCATCGTAGGCTTGGGTTGGTAAGTCCCCCACTGCATTGATGTCATTGACCAGGCTGTCTGTGAGGACACTCTCAGCATGCGAGGTTGTGTTGCCGAACAGAGAGAAACTTTGCAGAGGGCGGTTGCTCCCCCTTCCTTCCGTTGCCGTGGTGCTCTGCTCGTCCCGGGTCGAGCCTTCCCCCTCGATGTCGCGAAGCTCGTTGGGGGTGCCGTCGGGCCCGTTCTCGGCAGTGACGGTGACGTGCTCGTTGACGTGCTCGTTGGGGTCGGCGTCGAAGTAGTCCGTCAGGGTTGGTATACTCCCCCTTCCGCATCGTCTGTAGTCTGCGTTCCGTCATGTACCGCCACATGTCCCCCAAACTGCGCTTGCTGCCATGCGTCGACACTTTGCAGGAGGCGCACGGCCAGCTGCACTTGCTCCCCCACCAGGGTGGGCACGATTGCCCGGAACTCCTTTGCTGCCTCTCGGAGCAAGGTAGCCGCCCCTGCCGTAGCACTTGTTCTGGCTGGTGCTTCATGTGCTCCCCCGTGTAGCGCGATCGCATCCGCCGGATGTGCCATGGGCTCGTTGCTTCCGGTGGCTCTGTCCGCGGTTGCCATGGCTTCAGGTCGGGTTGAGAGGAAGCTTTCCCCCCGTAGCTCCAAGTAGGTGGCACCTTCCTGGATGAGTTCATGAAGTTCCTCCCAGTATCTCAGCGTGTTCCAGGTCAGGTCGCCATTGAAGGACGAGTCACGAGCTGCACGGAGCAGATCCCCCGCTCGCTGCATCTGCCGCGCTGCGTGTTGGATGCGGTGGTGTGTGACGCCGATCGGCATCGGTTGATGGAGCTGCACCGCCCCGGTTTCCACCATGAGGAGTATTGGGGCCAGGTCCTCGCCGTAGTCTCCTGCACTGAGAGTTCTCCCCCTCGAGATCCTGAAGCTTTGGATCTGCCGGAGTGCTTCGGCCAGTGCGTTGGGTTCGCTCAGTGCACGTCTGAGTCCCCGCGTGGCTGGTGGGTCTGCTTCGAGTGCTGCCGAGCAGTAAGGGTTCGCCGTGATGACGAGTTGTGTTGCCACATCGACCATGGTGAGGAGTGCGCCGCTCCCCATTGTTAGCTCGGCGGTCTCCCGAATGAGCTGCAGCTGCTGGAACATGGCCGTGGCGAAGCCATCCCAGTGTACCTCCGCCGGCGGATCCTCTGAGGCGTCGCCCCTGCGTGAGCTCCCCTCGGGCGCCCCCCTTTGCATGAGCTCTGTCCTGTCCGACTCTGTGTAAGGGGTCGGTGCCGGCGTTGGTGGCTGCTGTGGCCCGAAGGTTCGCCCGTCGCGTATCTGGTGGAACCATGGCACTGGGGCCGTCCCCCCTGCTGCGCCTGTCGCGGCGTCCGGCCTTGGCTCCTGGCTTGATCGTCGTAGTGTTCTGCCGTCGCTGAGCGGGTGGCGTGGCTGCTGTGGTTGTTGTGGTGGTGGGTCTTGCACGGTTGGATTGTGGTGTGGGGGTGCTGGCGCGGTTGGTTGCTCTTGGGTTGCCTGGGTCGGCCAGGGCCATTCCTCGACTGCTTCTGTGTCGTGGTGGGCCTCTGTTGGTTCTGGGTGGCCGTCTCCCGCACTGGTGGTGTCTGCTGGGTGGTCGTCCCCGGCGTTAGTGCTGTCTGTTGGTGCTGCGTAGAAACGGTCTGGTGTGGTGGTAGTGAAGAGGATGGACCAGTAAGATCCCCCTCTGGTGATTAGGAATTGGTCTCCCACCTGCAAGGCTAGGCTGTGGGGTTCCTGCATGCTGGTCGAGGGCACCTGCGTGGTGGTGGCCAACCACCGCCCTTCTGACAGGGGCTCCACAAGTAGCCAGGTCTCCCCGCTGATGGGTGGGTACACTGCAATCGGCATGGAATTGGAAGGCGGTGGTTGGTGTGTCCCCTCCTGTGGCGTGGGGACATTCGCAGTGTACTCCACCCTGCTGAGCCACTTGCCGGCTCTCAGCGCAGTGTGTGTGGTTGTGGTACGGTCAGAGTGGGGTAGCGGCGGTGGGGCAGACTCCCCCCCTCCGAGAGTGGGTCTCCTCGGTGGGCTGCTCGTGTGCTGTGTTGGCTGGTGCTGTGGTCTGGTCGGGTAGTAGCTGCGGGGGATGTCTTCTGCCTCTTGCTGGTCTGGGTGCCAGTGTGGTGTGTAGGTGGCTGCTTTGCTCCCCGGGTCGGGCCCATGCGGCTCTGCGGTTGGCGGGCTGTGGGCTTCGCTCGCGGGTTTGTCGCCGGTCTGTGGGGCTGTGGGTGGTCCGTCCCGGCCCATGTTGAGCAGTCGGGCCCAGTGGGCTCTCTCGTCGTCACTGAGTTGGGGGCGTTGCCAGTTGGGAGGGGGTACATCGATCTGCTGGTGGCGCGGGCTGTGGTGTGGTGGGTTGTGGTGGTGGTTGTGGTGGCTCCTGTTGGAGCTTTCGTGGTGGTGGCTGTGGTGACCATGTTGGTCTTGTTCTCCAGTGGGGTGAGTGGTCTGCTGGGGCTGTTGGTGTCGCTGTCTGGTGTGGCTGGTTTGGCTGCCCCATTGCGTGTGGAACATGCCTTGTGCTTTGAGCCATCTTTTGATTCTGTATTTTTCTGCTTTGTTGCGTGTGCGGGTGGCTCCCCCGCCTTCGTGCTTTCTCGCAGCATGTGTCGGGCCTGCTCGGGCGACGGTGGTTGTGGTTGTCTGTGGTGTCCTCCCCGGCTTGGTGGTCCGTGGGTTCGGGGTCGGGGAGGTCTGGTAAGAGCTCTCTTTCTATAGCTCTGGGGCACGATCCCGGTTGTCACCCATTCATAGTGCTCGCGCATGGTCATCCCCGGGATGCCTCGGGTGCCTCCTGGTGGTAGTGGTGGAATGCCTCCCCCTGGGTAGGGGCGGGGACGGTTCTCCCCTTGTGGTTCGGTGGCTGTGGAGGTCGGTGGGTCCGGTCCAGTCGGCTCGTTGGCCGTGGTGTCTGGTGGTGCTTCTCCGTGGCTGTGTTGGTGTGAGGGGCCTCATTTGTCGATGCGTGCTGCGTGGTGGGTGGTTGTTGTGGCAGGGGTTGTGCTTGCGTGTGTTGGTTTGGCTGTGGATCTGTCCAGGGATCTGTGGCGGAGTCGTACTGGCCTGCATATGCGACTCCGTGTGGGTCGTAGGGTCGGATGGGCCCTGCTGCAGCTGGTGTGTCGGTGCTCTGGGTGGGCATGGGGTGTGCCGGGCCGTCCGCTGGTGGCTGGATGATGTACCCTTGTGGATCAATCAGGTTGCCCTGGCCATCGTAGGTGGCGAAGCCGAAGTCTTGTGCCAGTTGGGCTGCCGTGTAAGGTTGTTCGGCCGTGGGTGGTTGTTGTGGAGCAGGTGGTGTCTGTGTCTGCTGTCTGTAGAGCTCCCCAAGTGCTTTGGCGATGGTGAGTGTTGGGCCTGGTGGCGGTGCCTGTGTGAGTTGCAGGACCCCCCGCGATGGTCGGTGTTGCTCTTGGCTGTGGTGTTGTTCTGCGGGTGGTGTCTCCTCCTGTGGGATGGGCTGCTGCTGCTGTGTCCATGGGTCGGTGTCCGGGTTGTATGGTGGTGGATACTGGCCCGTCTGTTGCCAGTGATAGGCTTGGGCGCTTGCTGCCTGGTGCGTCGGTGGTTGTTGCATGGTGGAGGTTGTCGCTGCCGTGTGTTGAGCGGGTGGATGTTGGTAGTGTGGCTGTGGGTGCTGAGGTGGGGCGGCTTGGGTATGTGGGTGGGCGGTCGCCCCCTCGCTCCTCCCAGCACCGTTGCCTGGTGCTTGGGT